AAGAAGAAAAAAACCCAGAAATTAAGAACGTTGAGAAGAACCTTGGGTGTTAAGAGCTGCAAGCATTTCCTAGAGGGCTCAGTATCGGGGAGCCAATTCGCAGGGCTCAAGAACTCATTTTTGGGGGCCGATTCGCGGCTGGGGATGGGGAGATGCAGGGAGGGGTTTGGGGGTGCTGCGGTGTCTCCCCCAGCCCTGCGGCCCAGGCGGGAGCCAGCAGTGGGGGAGTCAAGCTCGTCGAAAGAGCCCCTCAGTCGCTTCCGGGAGAGGGCGAAGCGATGCGGTTCTTTGTGTTTTCAGTTGGTTTGGGGGTTTTGGGGTTTTCTTTTTTCAGCCAAAAAAAAAAAAATAAAAACGTGAGGTTTCGGCAGAAATGAAGCAAAGCGAAATAAACTTATTTTGTCAAAATCGTCACCTTGGTTGGTTCTTTGGAGCAATCACTGCCGCCTCCCACCACCCAAATTCCCCTGAGAAGTTGATGCTGGGGACCCCTTTTTGATTAGCTTGACTCCCGCCAGGCTGAAGCATCTGCCAGGAATTTGGTGAAGCTGGGAGAGGAGCATGGACCTCTCTTTTTATTTGCTTTTTTCCCAGGAATTATCATTTTCTGGAGGAATTCACCCTGGCTGCGGAGGGGACCAGAGCAGGACCCAGCCTCTGTGGTTTTGCCGTTCTTTCCGAGCGATGGGGGAGCTTCTGGAGGACGTTAGCATGTCCCCTGGGATGTCCCTTCGTGGCCGCACCCGCAGATGAGCGACTTTGGTGATTGTGGGAAAGTGGCTTGATTTGGTTTTTATTTTGGGGGCCGGGGAGGATAACAAAACACCACAAATTTAAGCAAAAAAATGGGGTGGCTGGCGGTGCGGGTCGTGTGGGGACAGCCACCACCCAACGTCCCCCCTGCCCAGGTTTGGGTGGCCTTGGGGACATTGAACAGCCAGTGCAGGATGAGTGGTGGAGGATGGATGTCGGGGTCCCTCTGTCACCTCCCAAGGGCAGGGAACACTGCAGAGGTGACGCTGAGAGTGCACCCACTGGTGTGATGAGCCCATCGTGTCTCAGCCAGTGATTGTACATAAACCAGGGTATTTTTTTAAGTCGATTCTTAACTTTATAAATCCTGGTTGAAAACAACGCCCACGTCTCTGGTGGGGTGGCGAAGGGCTGGTTTGGGGTATTTATTATTTTAAATCCCTCCGACCCTTGAACCCCTGGCGAGGGACCCCTGCATCCCTGTGGGACTGGCCTATGTCCCCAGACGGGTTCATGCTGATGCCGCAGAGGCTGCTGTCTCTTAAGGGCTGATATTTTACTGCTGTGGCCTCGTGCTGCCATGGCCAACCCAGAGAGCCCCAGGACCGTGGGGAACTTCAGTACCCAGCTACCTCTGCCAGCCCCCCACCACCTCCCAGGCATCCCCACGCTGAGCGCTGGCAGGCTCCAGGTCTTCTCCAATGTGTTTATTTGGGTTTGGGTGTAGCAGGATGCAGCTGTGCCGGCGCTGACTCTGTATCTGTGTAGTTACTGGGATTGGCTTGGGCTGAAATAAAGCACAGTCCCTAGGAGGTTTCCTTCTCATTTTGCACACAAGTCTCTGCCATGGCACCAGTCCCTGCGAGGTCCTGTTCCCTCGGTGTGGTCCTATGTCCCCAGTGTGGTCCCATCCTTGAGGCATAATCCCTTCTCTGTGGTGTGGTCCCTGCTCTGTAGCACGATTCCTTTGCCATGGTGTGATGGTGGTGTGATTCCCTCCCTGCAGCCCCATCCCTTTCCCAAAACCCCATCAATTCCCTGCAACCCTTTCCCCATGGCTCTAATCCTTCCCCTTGATCCCCTCCCTTCCCCACGTTCCCATCCCTCCCCTGCAGCCCCATCCCTTCCCCATGCCCAGTCCCTTCCCAACCATCCCATCTCCTCCCCACACCCCCAGGCCGTTAAATACTTGAACTACACACAGATTCCTTTTCTCTTTTTTTTTTTTTTTCCCTGTGTTTTTTGCGTTTGTTTTGGTTTCTCTTTTTTTTTTTTTTTTTGCTTCAGTTTCTCATCCGATGTCAATGTCGCTGCCAATGCCAGGAGGGGTGGCCACTGGCCACGCCAGCCCCTGCAGCTCCTTCTCCATGCTGCCACAGGGTCAGGGACACTGGGGAACTGGACGGGGAGGGGACAAGGGACTGCTAAACCCGCCTGGTGCTCACTGGATGCTTGACGCCTATGTAGGGTGGAGCCGCCGGCGTCAGCCCCTGTCTCTGCCTGCCCGGGAGGCTCGAAACCCGCTCGTCCTTCCCTGGCCTCACCCAGGGTCTTCACTCGGCACCCGGGGGGGTCCCTGCTGCTGCTGCTCAGTTTGTGTACACCTGAGTCCCAATCACACGCATGATCTCCTTCTGGATTTTGGGGTCCTGAGTATTGATATTGGCGTCTCCCACTTGGCCATCTTCGTACCTGGAAGGAGAGAAGGGAGGGTAAGGGGGTGTCCTGGGGGTGTCCCATGGGTGTCAGCAAGGAGGGTGCAGCCAGGACTCACACAAAGAAGAAGCGGGTGCAGACGTGGTCTGAGACAGGGCAGACCCAGATGTTGCCGTGTTTCTGCAGGTCCTTGGAGGTGATGACTGCCGGGGGAAGAGGCTGTCGGACGGGGGACACAGGTCCCCACTGGGTGCAGCCCGTGGTGGGGACCCCTCACTCCCTCCCCTCCTCTGCCCACCAGCTAAGCCAGGGATGTGGGTGCTGCCTGGCCACCCCTCTCCACGTCCCCCCCACATGTCCCCGCACCTTCGCAAAGCGCGATGCAGTTCAGGTTGCGGCTCTGGAGGAAGCGGGACTGGATGGAGCGGGTCTGTGGAGAGAACAACTAGCGTTACTGCCCTGGCTGGGCTCGGCTCGCCCCAACCCCAGCACCCGTGGGTGCCATGTCCCCATCCCCATCCTCCCACCATGTTCCCCAGCCTGTCACCTGGGGGATGGTGTTCATCCGGTTGTACCTCTGCACCAGCTCATCCTTCGAAGGCATCCGGTGCTGCCCTTTCCCCATCCCTGCGGAGAAGCAAGGCGGCAGCCATCACTCCTTGGCAGGGAGCACCCCTGGGGTGATGCAGGGACACATGCCACAGATGGGGATGGCCACACCAGGTGCTCCCACCCTGCAGCCAAACCCTGGGAACTCCCCAAAAGTGGGTGCAGTGGCTTTTGGAGCCTAGAAAATGTTGGGGTTTTAATTTCCTGCCACACCCAACCTGGTAAGAGGCGGGTGCAGGTGGGAAGGATGCAGGATGCTGCCTGCTCCTGCACAGCTCCTCCACCCAGCACGATGCCGAACATCCCCGGGCCCATGCAGGGAGTGGGGATGAGAGTGCAGGCAGGACTGGGCAGTGCAGGCAGCCTCTTACCTGAGTATCCAAAGGAAATACTGGAGATGGGGCTCAGATAGATGCCCTTGCCATACGCTGCTCCATGCAGCTTGCAGGAAAACACCAGGGTGAGCAATGCAGGGTCACCCCGACAGCTTGGGCATGGTGGTGGAGGCAGCCCGGCCTCTGCAGGCAGTGCATCTCCAGCTGCCTGCATCCCTCCCTGCCTGTCTGCCTGCCCCAGGGCAGGGGTCAGGTGCAGGGGAGCGTTACCTGCAGTTTGGTGTAGGAAGCGTTGACCAGCCCGTTGCGGAGGATGGAGTGCCAGTTCTCAATGTGAGAGCCGCTGGAAAAAGCCAGCCCCATGTCAGCCCCATGGCACCTTGCCCCACTGCACCCACATCAGGGGGCTCCCGCCGCCCTCTGGCAACTCACTGGAAAGCGAAGGTGCTGCCGTAGAGTTTCTTGGCGGTGCGGAACCGGGCTTCCTTGGCTGGGGGGCTGCTGAGCAGGAGGAACTGGTGGGAGGTGTGCATGAACTTCAGCTGCTACCAGGGGAAAGGGAAGAGCAAAGGCGGCGCCAACAGGGAGAGAGGACAGACAGACAGACAGAGATCATGCACGGCAGCCTGGCCCTGTGCCCGGCCTAGCCCTGCTTTGGCCGTCCCGAGCTTGCCAGGAGGACCCCTGACATCCCCCATCTCTTGTCCCCCACCCTACAGCCCATGGCAAATATCCTCCATCCTACGTCCCATATCCTGCCTCCCACATCTCACAGGCTGCAGACTCCATCCCAAAGGCTGCATCCTACATCCCAGACCCTTATATCACCCGCTCCGTATCCTTACCTCCCTCATCCTGCATCCCGCATCCTCCATCCCACAGCCCGCACCCCATACCCTGTCCTGCATCCCACACCCTACATCCCACAACCCATATCCTACATCCCGCATCCCACATCCCGTACCCTATGTCCTGCATCACATATCCTACATCCTACCTTTCATATCCTAAGTCCTGCATCCCATGTCCCACATTCCAATCCCATACCCTTCATCCCATATCCCATACCCTATGTCCCACATTCCATATCCTACATCCCGCATCCCATACTCTCTGTCCTGCATCCCATACCCTCCATCCTACATTCCATATCCTACATCCCACCTCCCATACCCTACCTCCCACGTCCCATACCCTCCATCCCATATCCCACATCCCACATTCCATACCCTCCATCCTGCGTGCCGCACCCGCACCCCACCTGGAGCCCAGCCCAAGCCCCTTACCCTGCTGAGGGGCAGCTTGACGATGTGGGATCTGTTGCTGGATATTATCCTTGGGAAGAGGAGGAGGAAGAGAAGGAGGAAGAGGAAGGTCAGACAGGGTGGTCCCACGCTCCCCTGGGAGCGGGGCCAAGCTGGGAGCTGTGCCAGAACCGCCCCCCAGAAAGGGGCTAAGGGAGTTGTGCTGGGGATGCCCACTTGCCTCCCACCCCATCCTCTGTCCCGCGGGATGTGGGGCAGCAGGGAGGGATGTGGGGCAGCAGGACAGGGCAGCAGCACCCTCGGCCTTACCACTGCAGGAGGGGATGGGCCAGGGGGTCCAGCTTGTCCATCTGCTTCTTGATCTCCAGGTAGGACCCCTGGCAGAGGCGAGAGGGGGTGCGGGTGGGTCCCCTGGCACCCATCCAACCGTGGGCAAATGGAGATTGGCACCAAAATGCCACCCCCTGCTGAAGGATCCTGCACCGAGGCGGGGGTGGATCTCACACAGGGCCATGGGTGGTGCGGGGCCATGTCAGCATACCTGGGTCATCTCCCGGATGGACATCACGCTGTCCAGGGCCTTCTGCAGCCGCTCATAGTTCTTCTTCTATGTGTGGGGCAGGAGAGGGGCAGCTGTAGGAGGGGTCCTCGGGGTTCCCCCCAGCCCCATCAACCCCCAGCATGGGGGAGTGTTGTCCCCCTGGCACTTACCTTGGGGTTGAAGGCAAGTGTTTTGGGGTCATTGGGGTCCACTACTGAAGGGTAAGGCTCAAAGATGATGCTCTTGCGGGGGGACTCCAGGGCGGCACGGCACATGGCCACCAGCAGGTCCACCACCTTGGAGACAGAGCGTGGGGTGAAAGGACAGCACCCTGAGGTGATGGCGTGGTCACTCACCGTGAGTACCCCTACCTCAGCACCTGTGGCCACCTCCTCCGCTGCGCCGGACATGACGCCCAGGGTGTAGAAGGAGAAGACACAGAGCTCCCGGGTGCACACCGCTGGCTGCGGAGGGGACAGGAGCCATGGGAAGGGTCAGGGATGGTGACATGGGGTGACAGCCCGCCTGGTCCCTGTCCCCGCACCTTGAGCATGGAGCCATTCTGGAAGACGTGCTGTTCGTCACACACCACGCAGTACTCGTTGAGTGTTGGGATCCGCTGCTCTGCGTACTTCATGATCTGAGGGAGAGGAGATGGTGGGAGTCAGCCCCTGTGGTGGCCACGGTGCTTGGAAGGATGGTCTGGGAAGCTGGATGGGGCTGAGTGGGATGTGGGATGAGTGGGGAGGATGCTCTAGGCAGTGGGATGGGGATGACTGGGACATGGGACAGGGGGTAGGATGTTCCAGGCAAAGGGATGGCGTTGAGCTGGATGCAGAACACTCACCTGGACAAGGAAGCCGTACTCCAGCGTAGGGACATTCTTGCAGTGGCCGCCGACCTATGATGGAGCCGGAGCGGAGCCAGCTGCGTTATCGCCTTTCTCCCACGGACCCCCACCTCAGCATGGCACTGGCAGCCCTGAACACCCGCCCTGCCACAGCAGGACCCCCAACAGGCCAACACCCTCCTGGGGACACAGCTCCATTGGGGATGTGGCACCAAGAGGGTGGTAAAACCCCGCAGGACCCCATGGCCAATGTCCCAGCTTGGCCATCAGCACCCAAGGGTGCTGAAGACTAGGTGCAGGGGACTAAGCCCCACAGGGGCTCCCCCCACCCCAAAGGGGTCCCACCACCCCACGACAAGCAATCTGACCCTGCAGCAGCCCCTGGGAATACAGGAAGGGAAAGGAGAGGAAAGCAAACCCCGAGGCGGGGAGGCACCCACCAGCATGTTGAAGGGGGCGACACCTGCCTGGGTGCTGGGGGGAGCATAGCCGAAAACCTCCACCTTGGGGTTCTTCACTGTACAGGAAACGTTTTTTGAGCCTCGGGGATGCCCAGTTTGCCCTTCAGCACAGAATCTTGGATGACAGGGAAGCTGGGAGACCTGCAGGCACAGAAACCCCCTGAGCTCCCCAGTTTGTCACTGTCCCCTACTCCTCTGTCACCCAGCACCGAATTCACCCTTCAGCTGGTTTTTGGAAGCAACCTTCACCTCCTTGGACTCTGGCAGGGAGCAGCAGCATCCGAGGGGCAAGTGCGGAAACTGAGGCACAGTGCCAGGTCCCCAGCCACCCAGGGTGAGGGGACAGAGGGTTGGTCCCTGGGGGACACCATCAGGGTCTTACTTGGGGATGGGGGAGAAGATGCTGAGGCCAGCACGAAACTTCTTGATGGTGCCACTCGTCTTGAACCAACTGTGCCGCTTCTCCTGCTGGGTCTTCAGGAAATCATTGCTGAGATGTTTCCATTGCTGGGACGTGAACATGCCCAGGATCCTGGCAGAGACGTGGCATGGGTGCCCAAGTGGGGTGCCAGCACCCATGGGTGCTTCAGTGCCCACTGATCCTGGTGCATGGGTGGTCCATGCCATCCACCTCCTCCTGTTCCCCACCCAAAACTGGTGGTGAGCCCGTCACAGGGCTGTGTGGCAGGTAAAAGGTGGTGGCATGGGGACATGTGGCACCTGTCCAGCTTTGGGGCAAAATGGTGACCCCATGGCCCATCCCACCCACCACCCTTTGGTGCCCATTGTGTTTCAGCTCTTACTTCTTCAGCTGCAGACCCAGCCCAAAGCCCTCCTTGTTGGACGGCTGGAAAACCTCGATGGAAGGTTCTGCAGAGAGAGAGAGGAGGACAAAATGTTGGTGACACTGCCATCCCTGTCCCAAGGGTACATGGGGACACTGTGTCCTGCCTGTCCCCGCTCACCGGGGCCATCGAGGTACTGGGAGAGGGAGAAGCGCAGGCGGAGGACGATGGGCTCTGTCCGCAGCACCTTCCAAGCCGTCGCCACCTCCTCCTGCCAAGGGAGAGCTGTGATTCGGCACAGCCGCCAGGATCCCCAGCCGGGAAGGGAAATTTGGGGATCCCCTGGGTGCATGTCCCCCCCAATGCCGGTGGGGGCGCCCCAGGGACTCACATCGAGGAAGCTGATGTTCACGTGGAGGTCGATGTCCACGTCGTCGATGGTCCCATACTCCCTGCAAAGACATGCAGTGCCGTGGTGTGGGGATGGGGTGAGGCTAGCATGGTGCTGGAACCACTGCCTGGTGCCCACTGTACTGGGGTGGGCAGGCTCGTGGGGCGGTGACAGGCATGTGTGGCTCCCCGTATATGATGCCTGTGCACCTCTGAGACCAGGATGGCATGGGGAGAGTGCCCGGATTGTGAATGGATGCCCAGGGATGCCACGGCCAGGTGCCCTGGGGATGGCACCGCCAGGTGCCCCAGGGATGGCATGGCTGGGTGCCTAGAGATACCACGGCCTGGTGCCCCAGTGATGCCACAGCCAGGTGTCCCGGGATGGCACAGCTGGGTGCCCCAGTGATGCCATGGCTGGGTGCCCTGGATATGGCATAGCTGGGTGCCCCAGGGACGGCACAGCCAGGTACCCAGGGATGCCATGGCTGGGTGCCTGTGGATGCCACGGTCAGGTGCCCCAGGCATGCCACAGCCAGGTGTCCAGGGACGCTAGAGCTGGGTGCCACAGGGATGGCACAGCTGGGTGTGCAGGAATGGCATGGCTGGGTCCCTGGGGATGCCACAGCTGGGTCCCTGGGGATGCCACAACTGGGTGCCCTGGGGATGGTAAGGCTGGGTGCCCCAGGGATGGTACAGTCAGGTGCCCCAGTGATGCCATGGCTGGGTGCCCTGGGTATGGCACAGCCGAGTGCCCGGGGATATCACGGCCAAGCACCCCAAAGATGGCATGGACAGGTGCCTGGGGATGCCACAGCCAGGTGCCCTGGCTATGGTACAGCTGGGTGCCTGGGGTTGCCACAGCTGGATGTCCTGGGAATGCTATGTCTGGGTTCCCTGGGAAGGGCATAGCTGAGTGCCCAGGGATGCCACGGATGGGTGCCCTGGTGACGCCATGGCCTGGTGCCTTGGGGATGGCACAGCTGTGTGCCTGGGGATGGCATGGCTGGGACGGGGCTGGCAGATGCACCCACCTGACGGCCACGGCATTCTCGCTATAGATCTCCTTCACGGCCTCAATGTCGGCATCCAGCTGCGGGTGACGGTACAGGTCGGCGGCACAGGTCCCCTGCAGCACAGCACCCCATGGCACCATCAGACCTCGAGCCCCCTCGCAGCCCTGCACTCGGGACCGGGGGCAAGTTGGGGGTCCCTGAGCACCCCCATGGCACCCATGGGACCTGGCACCCATGGTGCTTACCTGGACGCCATAGAGGAACTCCTCAGACTCATTGTCCCCGTCAGAGTCATCATCCGTCCAATACTGTCCCTTGAGGTCCTGGGGAGCAGAGGGTTGGGGGGCAGTGGATTGGGGGGGCAGAGGGTT